TTAAGAGGTGCGTGTGGAGTAGTCTCGTTTGTTGTTGTGCATGGTTTGTATCAAGGTGGGGTTTTAATGCGTGAGACAGACCCGCTGTGTTGTGTTGCTGCTAATCATAGATGAATGAAAGTGATGCTTATATATATGTATAGTTTGTCTCTTATCATCAGCCCCAAGTGCGCGTACACGTCGAGACAATTTTATCATCTCCCCACTGTTGTGTACCAAGATATTGATCCACTGTACTGCTCTATCTGCATCGCTCGGCAGAAACACACCACCGACACATGGGATATCATCACCACAAACATCCTCACTATTAGTACACACACACTTTGTAAATTGTGCACTTATCTCTCCTCTCACTGTGGGCACTCTATCCAACTGATAGTCCCATTTCCATGGTAGTTCTCTATGTGGTAGTGCAGATTCTGGATGCAAGTTCGGGTGCACTTGAGCACCGTTATGTGTCATATGTAGGTCTGTAATACGGAAACCCTTTGCGTTGGTAAGCGCATTTTTTGTTTTCCACTCAGACGTCTAGTAGCTAGAGCTGATATGATTTGTTCCTCTGTTACAGAAAGATTCAAAGTATACAACTTTCTTCGACCTCCAGATGATTCTGCATCTAAATTGCCTCATTTATCTTGACTTTTCGGCAACGATATCTTGCGGTTGCTTCCATTCAGACAATCACACTCACCACACAAACACTTCGGCACCCAATTTATCCGCTTCTTGGGCGGAGCAAAATCTTCACCACGTCTCGTTATGCACGACATCGCAGAAGCTATAAGTAAACAAACTAAGGAGAGATGGCTACTATAAGGCAAAAAGTATGCATTTCTATAGTCAATTTTGTATTTACTCATGGTACATTGTACAAAATAGATGTTCGGGGCAACTTAAAATTCAGTAACTAAATTACTATTTTTTATGAGCTTTAAGCTAATCTGCAATGCACGGCGCACAACTGAGCTTTTCATTGGCTCACAGGGGACAGGCACACTACGCGATGGCCGCCACTGAGCGATGTATCGAAGGAATGACCAGCCCCACGGCCTCTGAAGGTGAAGGAATGACCAGCCCCACGTCCTCTGAAGGTGAAGGAATGACCAGCTCCGCGACCTCTGAAGGTAAAAGAATGACAAGACTAACGGCCTCTGAAGGTGAAGGAACGATCAGCCCCACGGCCTCTGACGGTGAAGGCATGACCAGCCTCAC